CTTGTGTCATCAGCAAATATTATGGGTTCTGTTAAAGTATTTATTGTTTTTATTGTTTTTATTGTTGGAGGAAGGTCATTTACATATATTATGAAAAGCAAGGGCCCTAAAATTGACCCTTGGGGAACTCTCGCTAGTGAGATGGAAGCTGTGGCTGTTGTGATTCGCTGTCTCAACTATGGTAAAGATTGCGGCGTACGTGGATTCTCGGCTGGGTGGTTCCATGTGAAATTGTGTGGGAAATGAACTTTGCACAGCTGTTGCAGACTCTTTCTTCGGTAACTGCAGAACACACGGCCATTTTCACAATTAGTGGCATCTAGCGGAGGCGCACAACAACAGTCACCTGGGTCATTTGAAACAAAACTCTTGAGTTTTTTTTTCTATAGACTGATGTGGGTATGAATTTCTAAACACGACGTATTTGTTTTCTGTATCATCATGAAAGTGTAAAGTTCTTTTCTGTGTTAGTGTTGACGTGAAAAGGCTCTAACGATCTAAAGATTCATCAACGCATCGTTCCCTGTGAGAATGACTTCATGTTAATCTAGTTTATGTAGTCTCAGAAGTACTTGCACTCGTATAAAAATAACAGAAGTCATATAATAGTTTTAGGTACTGAACATCTCGATATAGTACATAATTAGCACTCCTACTTCGTATTCTGGAAGTCTTAAGTTTCAGCCTAGCTGAAAATTTTTTATTTTCATATTCTCTTTCTGTGTCTCTAAACTAGTGGCTTTTAACTTGTGGGTTGCGACCCCTAGGAAGTCGCGAAGGATGTCAGGGGGGAGGGGGGTGGATATTAGGAGAGATCAAACAAGCGATGTTCACTTGTTTTGTCTTATTCCTAGTTCCCTCGTCCTCCGCAATGACAGCTGAGACGGCGTGCACATAGCTCCTTTTTGATCAAAGAGGGTTGCGAACAGTCGTAAAAAAAACTGCGCAAGGAAAAACAATTCGCCGTACAATAAAGATTGAGGAAAACAGGCAAATGGAGGGCCGTGACAGCAACTTCTCTCGCCTTTACAGTTCATAATATATAACTCTCGCCGGAAATTCCTACACATTATATATCGTGTTAAAAAAATCACTGGTATCTATTTCGCCTAGACTTATTCTGGCAAAAAATATAATAAATACAAAAATGGTGTCAGTAAGGCAGTTCCAGGTCGAATAAAATACAGAAAAAAGAATTCGCTTAGGCCTGTACATATTAGTGTAGGGCCCAGTAATAGCACGTAACAGGTTCCTAGTGGTGTCCCTGTTTTCCCACCTCTATCTCCAATAGCGTGCTCTCAGACACGGAACACAAATAATAGGATGACTCTTCAACCGAATCACGACATCTTTTTACCCGAACCTTAAAAATTTGCATATCGCCCCACTTATTACTAGCTACTAATGAAGCATGAAAGCAGAATAAGATCAAGGTGAACGTCAGGTGACGTAAAGTAAAGATTGTTTTGTTTTTAACAAACACTAGCAAACCTTCCAAACAAGCCCTACCCACACGCACACATTCACGGAGTAAAGATGTTTGTTTGTTAAGCGCCCCGTATAAATAACCTTGGTACATATATTAATTTCTTAAGGTATGGTGCACGATCATAAACATACTAACTAACTAGCTCCCAGGTAGCAGAACCCGCAGGTCCAACACCGACAACACCAAAGCCCGCCACCGGCCACGATCCTGAGCCAGCTCCATCCATTTACCATTCTCACAGCCCACCTCCCTAAGATCAATGTTGATATTATCTTACCATCTCCTTCTTGGTCTGCCCAGTGGTCGTTTCCCAGGACAATTCCCAACCATGCACCCCTTGCTTCGCCGTGTGCGTGATACATGTCCAGCTTATCGGAGCCTCCTAGATTTCGCTGTCCTTACTTTGCTAGGTAACCTATGCAATATTTTGGTATTCCAAACTCAGTCAGAATGCCGTACAGTACCTCTCTTCTAACTGAGTCGTATGCCTTCCTAAAGTCCAAAAATAGTTGAACTTTTCCATTATACTCCCACTTTTTCTCTAATATTTGTCGAATGCGAAAGATCTGATCAGTAGTTGACCTATTACGGCGGAATCCACGTTGATCGCCCCCGATAGTTTGATTCATAAATGGCGTTAACCGTGCCAGAAGTGCATTCGATAACACTTTTTATGACGTTGACAAAAGAGAGATACCTCGGAAATCATAGGGACAATAATTGATTCTTTCCATGGTTGTGGTGGTACTTCCTGGTTCCAGATCGAGACTATAAGCTTATGTGTCTCTGAGTGCAGTGTCGTACCACCTGCATGCATTAGTTCAGCTGGAATTGATTTGATGCCTGGAGAGTTATAACGTTTTCATTTCGCAATGGCAATTTCATCTTCATTAAGGCTCTGCTGTATGTACTTCAGTCTCTTTAAATTGATCAGCTACGTGGACGTTTAGTAACTTTCCATCTGTCTACTATGCCATGTGAGTCCGCGAGCAGATCCCCATTTTCGTCCGTGATCAAACGTCTTCTAGGTTTGTACCCCTTCTTGAATTCACTTACGAGGTGCGATCGGAAAGTTTAAAGACTGTGTCAATAGAGGGCGAACCGGATGTAGTACGAGCTTCTGCCGTTAGGGGGTGCGGCCTACTTTCATAGTGAATCAGTGTGCCAGCCGGCATCATCGAATTAGCATTTGTTTCTTAGTTACGGGCGTTATGGTAGTGCATTACACCGACCCTCCTGCGATTTCGGAATGGCGTGTGCATCAAATTTTGCCAAAGACTCGCCAAAACGGCTACGGAAACCTATGAAATGCTAAAGCAAGCATTTGGGGAAATACTTCGAAATGGGTCGTGCACAAACTTTTGTGTGGCATTGACGTTTTAAATGCTGGATTCGCGCCTTACACTGCAATATCTTTCCCTGTTTATTCGAGTACGGGCCTGCAGCCATTTCAATCTAACCTGCTTCCTCCGTCTTACGAAGATCGAGCATTTTTCTTCAAACCATGCTTTATTTCGAGAAGTTGTATGATATCCTACACTCTCCTCAGCTGAAATTTTCATGTTATCCCGTACATTTTCCCAGTCCTTATTGGCATCCAATTCCCTATCCTCTGTATTTTCTTCAACGTTTTATAAGACTGCAAACTTATTCGAAATTGTTACCTGATACTCTTGCTTAGTTTCTACATGACTCGGACTTTTGACGTTGAATTTCCCATTCCTGTTTATCTGCCCCGCGTGTTTTCTGACCGAGAATCTCGCCCTCAATTTTACTATCATAAATAATGGTCAGTATCACAGTCCTCTGCCCTTTAAGATGGCACTTTTAATATGTCTTATTATCTCCTCCGATTGATTAGAACGTGATGATCGCTCTGATGATGGAGGCAACAAGGCCTTGCTTGTATTACCTTTCCTCGCTGTTATGCGACTTGTCTGGGAGATATTTGTG